GGGAGGCGAAGTGCTGCCAAAATTTTCGGGGATCTCTTGAGGTCGAGCAATTCTGCCTAAAGACATGTACAAGGGATATAAGTGTATGTAAAATAAGAAAGGGGGTGTATTTAAGTAAATGAAATTATTGTAAATTAAATAGAGTTAAATACCGAAAAATATTGGCGGAAAGAGAAACACATTTGCCGCGCTGCTCTCTAGGGGAAGCCTTGCATGCCTCTAGGCAGTAGTCGAGGGTCAGTGGGTTTCTAGAAGATAAAAGTAGTTTATATTTATTTAAATTTATTAAAATCCCCTAAAAATATTAAAATGACTTAGAAAGATGGCGAAAGAAGGTGAAGGCCTTCTGATTTTATTTCTTAGGTAGGGGAGGATATTTGCACTCTTGAGGGGTGACCGGAGTAGTCGGAGGCAGCGTTCCCTCGAACAGAGAACACGCCTTCTATTCGGGGGAACTCGACTATAGGGCATGTTGCCTTGTTTAGAGCCGGGACTCCGCCCCGTAGCACTATAGGGGACCCTTGGATAGTTAGGAGATAGATTGACAGTGTGATATCGGGGCTCCTAACGAAGGGAGGCGAAGCGCTGCCGAAATTTCCTTAGATTCGACAAGCCTTCTTCTACCATCTTTCACATTTTCTACCCATCCCTCTCTCTAGTCGCCAGTTGGATGTGGCTGCGAGCGCAAGTAGAGGTCTATGAGGCCACCATCGACTGGGACTTGGAGCCTCCTGAACTCATAGAAGGGGATCTGGTGGAGCTCACGATCCCCAGGCACAGCGTTCGACACGTTGACGGTCAGTTTGCGTGGAGGTCCTCACTCCTGTCCGAGGACGTGTGGCTTTGGACGCACAGAGTGCACCAGCCTGGGCAAGGAGTGGACGTAGTGAGGGCCTACTTGTACTTAGGACCATGCACGGTTACGAAGTTCGTGCTGAGCCTCGCGACGATAGGGACTAGTGACGCGGTTAGCAGGGCGTTACGCTACCTGAGGGACGAGGTAGCTGCCTTCCGAGCGGAGGACTCGAGCGACCCGTTGACCCTATTTCACGGGCGCCCTCCTCTAGATATCACGGGCGAGCTGGTGATAGCCCGGGACGGTTTTTTCTCGTACAGCGTTAGGAGTCTGCGGACGATAGTTCGGACGTTCGTAGTAGAGAGCGTCTTTGGAGGTATTGGTGGAGTGGTCGAGACATACCTAGCCTATCAGGATCTCAAGATCCTGGCGAGAAGGCATGTCGACCTCGACTACATCTATTATTCGCTCGCGACCGGTGGGCCTCGTTAGGGTGACGAGAGGGTTCAGCTTATAGAGCTGATCCGTTCGATAGACGACGAGTGACCCCAGTCTCCGTGCGTTTGGGATTGGCTAGATCGCGAGCTCCGAGCAGGCGCCGAGTACGTGACCTGCATCGAGCGGCTCTTCTCAGACGACTGGGGGAGCTGGTGGAGTGAGGACGTCGGGCGACCTCTGATATACAACCATTAGTTGGCGGAGTACTACCAGGTTATAGGACAGGCGCCATACCGCGTCGAGGACGAGTTTGACGACGAGGGCTGGGAGCGAGAGGACGACGAGGACGCCTGGGAGCCAGACTGGGTTGACCTAGAGAGTGAGGTTGACTAGAAGGAGATTGACGTTACGGACGCCCATTTCCCCAGGATAAGAGTAGCAGTCCAGGCGTAGGAGGCTGAGGAGCACATTAGGGCGGCGGTTGAATGAGCCTTAGCCACTGATATCGGCGGATAGAGGAGAGCGGATCGATGGTAGAGCAGGTCAGTGGAGTAGAGCTTCAGATCGACGACGCCAGATGGCCTAGGCAGGGTGTCGCTAAATCTGCCAGCCAGAGGGGTTTCCGCAGATGCGATAGAGAGCCGATGGTCATCGACAGTCTTGGGCCCAGACGTGCACTTGTGGACGTATGCCATCGAGACGTTTGAGCTAGGCAGTCAGAGGTGGCGACGACCAGGCACGACTAGTATAGAGGTAGTGGGCCACATTTACTACTCGCGGAAGGTGCTAGCCGCAATCTATTTTCACGGCATCGTGCACGATCATTGGCGAGAGGAGCAGAGCGCGAGGAGGATTTTACTGGCCCGAGCGGACTCTGCGCGGGGCGAGGTAGAGCAGCTGCACGGGGGTGTTCGGGGAGTGACGACGACCTTGAGGATTGGAGGGCACTTCCCATATCCTAGCAGTCGACTGCGTGTGACACTTCCGTGCTTCGTGGCGGAGGAGCTTTGAGTACTTAAACGTCTGGGTGAGATCTACTTTGTGGCTCTTGACTTGGACGGCCTCTGCCGAGGGTACACTGACAGGGGATTGGGTGTTGTATGCGCAGTTTGTAGCAGGGCCGCTTGTAGGCGAGCGAGGACTCCAGTCGATTGAGTTCCTGCGGGCCATTGTGCCTACAGGGAGCCCTGCCCTATACTCTCTGTACCAGCCCCTAGCCTTCTGGACGGCACTAGAGAGAGAGGCTTGGAGGCCTACAGATCATTTAGCTGGAGTAGGACAACTGTTAGCCGAGACTCGTGAGGAGAGGCCGGACCATCTCATCTTGACCGGGGAGGTTGAGGAGTATTACCGGCAGGTACATCCAGAGGCAGACGATCTTACGTGGTACGCTGAGGATCGGGATTGGGAGGAGTTCGATGACATAGAGCCTTGGGGTGACCAGGAGGACGGCTGGGGACATCTCCTTCGGACCGAGGGACAGGAGGATATTCCATGGGGACAGAGGGTAGATGAGGATACAGACGAAGATATGCCAGATGCATGAGACGACTAGAAGCAGGACATATCCGAGTGAGGTTTAGAGAAGGGAGTAGTGGAGAGTATAGCAAACTGAGATATACTGAGGGTGACACTTTCCCTACGACAAGATAGGACAGGAGGTTGGGAGGATGAAGCGTTGGGCAATGCTGAGCGACAGGTCAGACTCATGACGGAGCATGCCGTGGAGATACGGAGAGGCCAGAGGTACGTCGAGTTCACTATCTACTTTCATGGAGCCGACAGGAGAGTGCACAGCACCTACTCGGCCATACTGGATCTGAGTGGGAGAGTTGTCTGAGGAGTCGGCAGCATCGAGAGATAGGGTGCGTCGGAGGGATTAGAGCGCTACAGGTCGAGAGCTGGAGAAGAGATGAGGAGTGACTCGGTAGCCTGGCTAGCCTATGTTCTCTCACGAGAGTCCGAATCGTATAGCGTGAGGAAGCTTGTGAGACCCAGAGAGACGGCGGTTGGATACGACATTCCTCTTCGTGTGGCGTTAGAGGGGACAGGGCGTGTTCCGATACGATACCTAAAAACGTGGCTCGCAGAGGGACTCTTCCTTTGGACAGTGATACTGAGAGACGAATGACTCGAGAGAACTCATGAACTAGAAGGGGTCGGATATCTGATAGCGGATAGAGCACACGATTTAGAGGTAGGACTGATGCTCGCAAGGGCAAGCAGGGCTTGGTGGAGAAGCGAGTCGTTGGCCAGAGTGATCGTTAATCAGCAACTGGCGAGACTCTCTGGAGGAAGGACGCGTTGGAGCCGCTTGGTATACGGTCCTCCGCATCCGACCCTCTACCCGAGAGAGGATTGGCGATTCGGACTTCCTGCTTTCGTGATAGGGCAGACCTATGGGAGCGTAGATCGTTTGAGTAGAGCAGTGGACCACACACTTTACGCGCTTTGGGAGGGCTTAGCGCCCCGTTTCAGGGAAGTATACTACGCCATTTATGTGAGGTGGGGACCGCCCAGTAGAGAGACGTTTGACGACATCATAGACGTTACTAGCTCGGTGGACTGTCTGAGGCCAGTCAATCTGATTAGGTACTGCAGGAGACGGGCGGAGATCGATTCCGTGGGGCTAGAGGATGTGAGGTTTCTCTTCGAGGATGGCCACAGTGATGCGTATAGGAGAGCAACTGGAAAACACAGGGTACACTGTGACAGTACTTCTCCGAGCGTACGTAGATGAGGACTTGACGGCGAGGGAGTGTCGGCAACGAGCCAGAGATTTGATCCACGAGCATAGAGCCGATGTACTCGCGCGGGTGACCTTCCAGACCTCGATTTCCTATGAGGTGATGATATGGTCACATGGTTATATGTGTGCGGAGCACTTCCACGACGAGACAGTAGCGGAGGCTAAAGCAAGGGTGAGAGGATGAGCTGGAAAGAGATGAGGACTGAGTATGGAAGAGGAGAGTGAGGCAGTCGAAAGGGTGAGAGAGCGCATTAAAGAACCGCTCTTGAACCCGGTAAAGGAGTTGGGGAACGAGTTAAGGAAGATCTGGTCGTGCTAGGATGAGGGCAAGTTGCGTAGGGCTGAGCTCGTGATGAGAGAGTTAGAGAGTTTGTTTAGGGAGGAAAGAGAGAGAATCCAGGCGTGGAGATCAGACTTTCTGGAGAGGGTAAAGGCTAGGAGCGTATCACGCGAAGGAACTGGGGAGAGGTCTGCAGAGGGCGTGACAACGGAGGACAAGGTAACGTAGAGAGGTAGCAACAGGACATGAGCGGGACTGCACTACATACGACGGATCGGTACTCATTGCATGTGGTAGGGAGACTAGACGGACCATTGGTGTTAGTGATCATAGAGCTTCAGTTCCATACCAGACTGTGCATAGTTGAGGAGGCAGAGTGTGTCCGCCGTGCGCTGCGTGAGGCTAGGGGGACAGGACTTTGGATTCGAATAGAAGGAGGACGAAGGATAAAATACGTACTCTGAGTGACACATTTTGAAGGGCGGTCTCGGATAAGGGCATGGTACGAGACGACCAGGGAGGCTGAGAAGTTGAAGATAAGCGAACCTAGGAAAGCTGGAGACCTAGGGAGAGTCGTGACAGACGATGCAATACTCAAGGTGCTAGCCGCTCACGATTGGTATTGGAGGGAGTCGATAAAGACTTTGGAGGCCATAGAGGATAGTGGAGATGAGGAGGATTTTGAGACATTCTATGACATATTGGAGCTGTCGCCGATGAGGTTACGAGTGGTTATAGCACTGACTTACCTCAGGTGCTAGACAAATGACCTCATAGCCGTCTGGGAGTTAAAGGAGGAGAAATAGAGATTGGAAGCTCTTGGAATGATAGTGGGAGCTAGAAAGGACGACGAGCGACTTTGGATGGCAGTAGGAGGGGAGCTTCCTCCTTTAGCGAGCTACCCGATTCAGGACGGGCTAGGAGACCTAGCAAGGAGGACGGAGATAGACGCACGGAGACTCTTGAGGGGAGCTAATCAGGAGACATTGGCTAGGCTTGGGACTGCGATCTGCAGCAGGCGTAGAGATCCTGTCACGGGTGTACTGCAGATCCGGAGAGGCGCGGCCTTGTTGGCCAATCCCGAAGGGGAGGTTTACCTAGACACAGGGATTCTTGGGATAGAGGGAGAGCACGAGATCCACCACCGGAACGGAGTACTGGTGGTAGTAATAGGGGCAGTCGAGAGCTAGGATTGGAGGCAGACGTGAACCGTGATAAGGAAACAGGTTCGGGCTGCCGCAATTGTCACTGGTCCGGGCTGCGAGTTCTGTCACAGGTCCGGGCTGCAGCAACTGTCATAGGCTCGGGCTGTAACACTTGGCGAGAGTACCTAACTGCGTCTTCTGGTGGCCTATGGAACCAGACACGATGGGGCCACAACCGACCACGGCCGAGACAGGAGAGCGGTACAGGACATCGCCCGACCGAGCTCTGAGGGATCTGAAGGAACGAATTAGGCGGGACGCACCGCTGAGATGGGCTGACTAAACCAATGACGGAGAGCCCAACGTAATGGGCAAGTCGGTCGTGACGGAGCCGCAGGAGGCTCTGAAGACAGGAACCTCGAGCGGTCGACGAGAAGCGACGAGACGACGCTCCCCTGAGTCCCTGAGTATGAGCGGAGGGAAACCATAGCGGATAGGCACAAGGACGACTGTCGAGAGAGTTCGAGGGATTCCTATTGGAGGGACAGAGATAGAGAAAGAGCACCGCCGTGGCGTGTCTTCGACCCCCAAACGGGGGAATCACACCCGCTCCCTTACGAGAGCAAGGATCGCTATATTATCACGCACAAGGCCTCAAAGCCTCCTACTTTCAGGGGCTATGGCATTACAGAGTATCTCGAGAAGTGGGAGCTACACGCCAGTCGGAGTCAGTGATCGGAGGAAGAGATTATAGAGAACTTCCTATTTAATGTGGACCCAAGTCTCGGTAGGGAAGTTAAGGAAGCTCGACCGAAGGATGGGAAATGGAATACGTACAAGGAGAACCTCATTGAGCTTTACAAATTGGAAGATAACAAGTACTCCATCAAGGACCTTGAGACGATGACTCAAGATGAAGATGAAAGCGTACGGGCATTTGGGATGCATTTCCAGAAGATCTCTGACGTGCTGATGAAGAAGGGGAAGATCTCAGAGGTCGAGCGTTGTACTATCTTCATCGGACACCTGTCCAAAGGTAGACAAAAAAGTATACTTAGAGATCTTCCACGCGACAAGCTTGACTTCCCAGAAGTCCTAAAGCTCGCGATAAAGGCAGAGGCAGACGACTACAAGGACTTGGTGTGGAGAAGGATGAGGAGACATGACTTTTCCCTCTACAAGGAGTATGCCACCGATAGATGTCCTGATTTCAAGGACCATCCCTGGTCGGAGAAAAATGAAGCCATCGCCGAGGAAGTGAAGGAGATAAGGGACATGGTAAAGGGATTGACAAGACAGGTTACAGAGATTGTAACCACCACAGGAGCCACGACATACCGGGACAAGCCCGGAGGACCCTATTCACTTCGCTGGGACCGAAGGAACACTGATTCCTGGAGGAGTGTCGAGGATAGAAATCCTCGAATGCTGACTGATTATCGTGCAAGGGAAAGGGAGAGAGACGATGAGCCATGGCGACGTATGGATGATGTGATAGACCAGGACCGCAGGACTCGCGAGATGTATGGGCGTGCTAGGAGACTGGATGACTACTCGCGTAGCCCTCGCTATGAGCCTAACGGGGGTAGAGGCGACTCTCGAGGCCGATGGGAGTCGAATCAGGGCCGACGAGACGGATACAGTGATGGCGGATATGCAAGATCGGACCGAGATGGACACAGGGATGACAAATATGCGAGATCGGACCGAGATGTACACATGGATGGCAGATATGCAGGATCGGACCGAGATGGACGTAGGGACGACAGATATGAGAGATCAGACCGGGATGGATATAGGGACGGAAGATATGAAAGGACGGATCGAGATGGATACAGAGGTGGCAGATATGAGAGAGGAGATCGAGACGGGGACCGACGAGACGACTCACGCGGACGGTATGACCGCGGGGGATACGCGAGAGAGCAGCGCGACGATTCGTGGGGATGGTACAACCGAGGAGATCGACGTGATGAGTCGCGCGGGCGATACGACACTGGGGACCGCCGAAATGATTCACGAGGAGGATATGAGCCGGGAGGATCTGGGGGAGACCGCCGCAATGATTCGCGCGGCAGGTATGAGAGAGGGGGATATGACGCTTTTGCAGATCCATATCCGAAGTCCCCTGACCCCAGAGCAGCGAGAGGATCGACCTCCAGAGGCGTAGACGACAGACCACCCACTCCAAGGAACTCTTACGTCTACTGTAGAGGAGATAATCATATCAAGAGAGATTGTCCGGACCTTAAACAGGCAATAGATGAGGGACTTGTCGTGCTTGACGATCGCAAGTACGTCAAGAACAGCCATTTCGTCAAAACGGACATATTATATTTTATGAACGAAATTAAAACTGACTTTTTTTGCCAAAATCCGGTCGGAATTTTTTGCTCATGGGGGTCCGGCGTTCCCA